TATTAATTTATAAACAAAAATATACATTTTAAAAAATTCCAAAAAATTTTGTTACATATTGTATATTTTCAATAAAATATATAATTTAATTAAAGAATTCAATATTATTATTTAGGATAAGTTTCAAGTTAATATAATATGTAAAAATATTTTTATTTTATTTTTAAAAAGAATAAAACTTTATTAATATATAAATTATTTAAAAAAGTAAAATCAAAATATTAATGAAAAAAGAATATATTAATATCAATCATATTAATTATATATAAATATTATGGATTATAATAAAATTTATAGTTTTCAATTTTAAAAATTAAGATTATAAAAAGTAATTATATAATTTTTATAATGATATTTCAATATTAAAACCTTTTTATAAGAATGGTATTTTATAATTGATATAATTAACAAGAAAGTATCAAAATATTGAATATCAAAAAAATTTACTTTATAACAATAGCATAAATATAAAAAAATTTGAATCATAAACTTAAAATAGAAACATTATTAAAAAAAAGGACCAAAAACAAAGATCAAGAGAAAAAAATTATTAATAAAATTTAATAATTCTTTGAAAAACAATTAAGCAAAATAGCTTGTTACTGTAAATGGGTTTTTTTTTTACAATTATTAATTAATTATTAATTTAATAAATTTAATAATTCTCAATAAGAGTATATCTCTTGTTTCCCTCCGTAAGGATCTTTCTTTAAACATAGGTTTTACTTCCGGATTACTTGTCTGACCTCTGGTACTTTTCCCCAACCATCGGGTACACAGTAATGGGCCATAATCTTTATATCAAAAAAAAAAAAAGTAATAATTAATAATTTTCATTATACTGTAATTGTACAGTATATTCATATTCTACGTTGATCATTTTACAGTATGTTTACCCAGCGAAACCCTAATTTCAAAGTCTAGTTAGTCAGTATGTCCGAGCGGTGGAATAGTCTTTTTTGCCAGTGACCACCGTGAATCATTGAAAGCATTTTTTCCAACGAGATCTAACCTTAAAAGCAACAAATATAATATAAAGAAAACAATTATACTATTAAATTTTATAATCTTAAAAGTTAAAGCGATCGAAGCATGACCGGTATCCGCATCAAGAAATGATAGGCGTCGTACGCCATCAATGAAAAGTATGTAAATTGTATGTAAATAAGACTCCATAAACGCATGTTTTTATTTTATTTGATTTGATTTGGCGTTATGTGTTTATACTGTAGACGGACTCGCAACAATAGTTAAGCTTGAAGCGGTTATTACAGTAAGGTTCTCTTACAGAATGGCGGCCGCCACGATCTTCCCAGGAATTATGTGGCAGATCTTAACATCCGGGGAAAGCTATCCAAAAGGAAATTCGATCATTCGGTTAGTAGTACATCGTATGTCATCATAAAGATATGTGCATTCGGCCTTATAGTCGAAATGCCTCGATTGTAATTATTTTCCATATCAAGTTCGAAACATGACAACCTGATTATATTCACAAACTGCAAAAAAAGTAAAATGAACTTTCACATTTACAATTTCACATGAGATCGCTTAAATTTATGTGAATAGGTAGGTGCACTGTACACGACGGACAATTTTATATTATTTAGAACGTACGTATTAGGAAAAACCTGGCCCCCCGCAGCCATGAGGTGACAAATTTTCCGAAATATCATGATTCAAAAATCTACGCATAAACTTGAGTATGCAGTACATTTTTATTATGCACATCTATTCACATGAAGATCTACAAATCCTCGATAACGGCGAAAATAGATATTATCACGTGCGAATGCGACATCCCGAGTGATGATGCAAAATCCGTTTGCGAGAGGATACATTTTTAAAGGAGTTATGGTAATTAAGTTGATAGTCGTTTACCTCAAAAGAAGACAGAACAAAATGAAATTGTTTGTTGCGCCTCACATGAATCCCTTTTCTATTTAACAAGAATTAAATGCAAATATCCTGGTGCATATCAATGAAACATGAACCTTTGTTCCTCTCATATTTTTCGAACAATCTTGAAACCAAATTTTTCTCTTACGTACGACTGTATGCACAGAAGAACCTCCTTTCTCTGAAATACTCAGTCTCGACGCAATGGCAAAGGATAGAGTTGAATTAATTTAGTTAGCATGTGTGAAGCAACAAAAAAAAAAAAAAAAAAAGAATCAAATCACGTGAGAATTTTAAAAATGCCGCGTAGTGGTAACGCATCACATGTTTCCTCCCCAAGAAATCTTCGCTACAAAACCCAGCTAAAAAGAATTTGATTCCATAATTTGAAATGATGGATAAAATTATGTTGACAACAGTATGTAAAGTTCACGGAAATCAATGTTTGCACCATGCTCTCAACTTCCCAACAACAAATTTCTGGTCAAATAACCAAGCTTTATGTTTTCGAGCCATCTCATCGTTATACAGTGATCATTTCGTAATGCGTTCAATCTCGATCACCCATAAATAACATCCTGATCTCAAACTTTATGAGCAAAAACAGTGCCTCAACATAAATAACAAGAAACGAACTTTGCACTGCAATTTGCGTTATTTAAATCGGGCATACTAATTTTGGCAAAATCATCGTGTCAACAGAGATGGATTTATTACCTAAAATAAAATGATATGAAGGTTTTTCCTGTCAAGTTTTGGAGCAGCGGTTGTGTAGCATACTTGTGTCAAAGAATCAGGTCGACATTGATAGTTCTTGCGCTATCTTCTTAACATTTTCTATTAAGTATTCTTACAAAAGGCGAACATCATACTGATGAAATGCTGTTCCCACAGGCGGTGAAAATCATACTGATAAAACATTAAAGAAAGAAGATGTTTCGACCGAAAAAGTTGTGCGAGGTGTTTATAAATGGCCAATAATTCCGTTTATTTAAAAGAAAAACAATCATTTGTGAATTTAACGATACGAACGCCAAGTTCATCAGGAAAATGTCGAAATAGGCAATTATTACCCAATTTCCGGTGAATCCTGCTCCTCAAATAATTTGATAACGATAATTCCTGGGAAAATGGCATTTAATTTCATGTTGCACGCAAAGTTAATCATGCCCAACGATTAGAGTGAGTGGGTCTGATAAATCGTCCATGATCACCAATCCAAATTGAAGATCCGGCTCCGGTGTCATAAAGACGAACTTTATGATCCAAGTAAAGCAATATTAAAAAATCGATTATGATTCGTGTGAATATGTGAATAATATCTTGGATATTACTTTATCCAATAACCTCGAACATCGCAGGAGGAATGAACATGCAAGAAGACAATGTGTGATCAGCATGCAGTAAGTAAATCACGGGTCTGCTCAGTAATATCGATTGGACATTTAATTTAATTCTGCAATTGCTTATAAATGCTAGAAAATAATCTCGCAAAAATCATCAGCACATTGCAAATACCCTGAATCGATTTGATAAATACCGTGCTAATGAATGTCTAAATTTGAAATTCGTTTTGTCTGGGAAAATTTTTCAAAAAAGTTTATCCGCTTTGTTTTATCAAAGTCGAAAATGGTCAACTTAGCATTGATGATTTTAGTTTAAATTTTTATATAGTTGAAAGAAAAAAGGTGCGAGTTTTTTAAAGTTACTACGTATTATTCGGGTATCGACCTTATTATATGCGGCGGTCATTGTTTAACCTCAACTTGATTTTTAAGATGGAATTAAATAAATAAAAATTTTTATTCAAAAATAAATATGCAAATAGCTAAAATAAAAATTTTTTTGAAACGATTAAAAAATAAAATAAAATAACAATTTTATATTAAATTTATGAAATATAAGATCCTTGATTATAAGATGTTTCATTAAGTTTAATAAGTTTGTATGTAACACATCTTGTCTTACAGTTTTTCACACTTGTTATTTCACTTTTATAAAACTGAAATTTCATTTTTTTAATAACTACCTCATAAAAACTTTTCCAACTAATTATAATAGAAGGTGTATTTTCTAATTATTTTTTAATTAATGATATTTACGTGGGTAAAAAAGATGATTAAAAAACAACTTTCGTATTGTTGATGTCATGATTTGTATTACAATTCCCCACAATATTATTAAATCACAACATGATCACTACTGTCTGGTGACTTCTGTATATGAATGAGACAAGTAAATTATTAAGCAAACCATTGGCGCAACCTGGATCAGGATGATAACCTCGCGACAATAAGATCTAAATTTGGGTTTCAAAAGAAAAATCCAATCGAGCCTTTCATTGTCCATAGAAAAACGGATACACTAGCAGTCTTAGGATATATTTGTTTTCTCCACATACTTTCAAGAGATGATCCGGACACTACCCCACATTTTTTAAAAAGAGATGAGGTGTGGAGTTCTTCGCGGCGTTGCAAACATCGCAGGTATCGTGCAAAGCATCGGGTCATTTCTTATTTAGGAATTTTGGATCATCAATTTTTTTTTTTTTTTAACAAGAATTAAGAGTAAAGTTATTTTTGGGGGGTATGGTCGGTGTTGTTCATAAATTTTTTCTCTTCGGATAAGCCAAAAGAAAAAATTTTCCCACAAGTGCGATAGCAGTTTCTTTTTAGTATCGTACGGCGTGCACTCAACGTTAATCCATGGCACAAGCACGATTTTTGGCCACAACACTAAATACATTTTAGGCCGTCACTATTAAAGATTTAATTCTGATCTCATGAAAGATCCGCGATTCGACGAAGATCCTTATTTGATGAATCCGTATGCACCTGAGATGCATATGATACTCTTGTGGGTATCCCAAAATTCTTTATAAAGGGCCAATCTCACTAGCGCATTTTCTCCTTCGAACTCCTACAAACAAATTCCGTCGTTTCTTTTATAATCCTACACATTGATTTTTTTTCAATATAAACATCACAGAAAGCCACATCACTTTTTTTTTTAACATTAAAATTAAGCGAAAAGATAATATCTTTATACTTATAATTACGCGTCACGTCAAACGCCTACTTTATGAAAAATAACCAGTAACCATGGGCAAAGTTCAATCGAGACTGAATAAAAGAAAATCTTCTCACTCATCCCAATGCTCCATCTCCGACGATGATAAGAGAGATCAAACAGCTTACGAATATATCAATAAAAGAAAATATTTTTCATCATACATCCTTCCCCTGGACAGCGACGAAGTTGACCGATTGACATTGCAGCATTATATCTTTAACAACATATGGGGAGGCGACTTTTCTTCGCCTGTCTGTGATTTGCTGGAAAGAGGCGGAGCCAAGGTTTTGGATGTAGGGTATGTCATATGTGTAATATCAGGTTTCTTTTTCATCATTTGTTTTTACACGTAGGTAACAATTTCCCTTTGTTACTTCTTAAAGATGCGGTCCAGGTGTCTTTGTGCTTGAAATGGCAAACAAGTAGGTTCCTTTGAGATTGGGTTAAACGTTCCTCATCTTTATTTCAAAATAGCTAACTCGATCGCCGACTCGATGTTACAGATATCCAAAAAATTCATTTGTCGGCATGGACATTGCAAACAACTATCCGCTCTTTATCAAACCCGAGAATGCGTCATTTCAAAGAGCCGACATAACCAACGGTTTACCTTTTCCCGACAATTCTTTTGACTTTGTATATATGCGCTTCATGATGCTTGCCATCACGATAGAGAATTGGCAATTTGCAATAGACGAAGTATGTTGTTGAATTTTTTTTTTTTTTTTTTTTTTTTTTTTTTTTTTTTTTTTTTTTTTTACTTGCACGTCATCTGACCGATCTCTTAACATTTCGCATCTTAGCTCGTTCGCGTATGTAAACCTGGAGGTTGGATCGAAGTGATGGAGAGGTTGGTTATTCTTATTAGTTTTTCCCCTTTATTTTCTTTTCTTTTTTTGATGCGTATTCAAGGTCCTTTTTCCTAATAACCTATCCCACAACTTCAAATAGAGATATCTATTGGTACAACGAAGGAGAGATGGTGAATGAATGGCGGACAAGAGGTGGGCTTCGGGTTTTCAAGTTTATCTATCGTCTTGTCGAATTCAAATACTAATTACGCTATTTTACAAAATAGTCGTTGAAGGATTAAGGAAAGAAAGAAACATCGAACTCAACATAAGTTCACACATTCCCGGATACTTCACGTCAAACAAACAGTTAACTAATTTTGCAAGTGACGAGAGAGTAGAGCCGATAGGTTCTTGGGCTGGAATATTGGGTAATTTTCATTATTATTTTCATCATCATCTTCATTATCGTATTTTTCATTCATTCATTCATTCATTCATTCATTTCTCGTGATCGTGATCGATGTTAATAGGTACAGCATATGCAGAGGTTGTCAAGTGGGGTGCCAAGAACTTTTCTAACGCCGTGTCACATAAATTCCCCGGAGATTATGAGACACTGGTTGAAATAGCCATGGAAGAACTTGAAAAGAACAAAGCTTTTGACAAGAGTTATCGATTTTGGGCAATGAAAAAACATCTGTAAATTATTTTCATTTGTTTTCATGTGTATGATAGTGAAAAAAAAAAAAAGAAAAGAGAAAAATTACAACATCAAGGGTTGATGCAGGCACACTCACTGTTTTAAATTATTTGTATATTTGCGTTATAATACACTCTTTAATCGACTTCCACTAACCAGCGAACTTTTGTAAATAAAATAACATTTATTGCAACTAAATCACGAAAATCGGAAGAATAAAAGTATCCTGCTGTATTCATCGCAGGTAAACCACCGACAAACCATTCTTGCAACGAATGATTCCGATGAAATTATGAAATGTCCGTCCCCTCAAAATCCATTAATTTTTTGCTCTGATCATCTTCGCGTGTAAAACAGTCAAACCATCCCTTGAGATTTCGAAATTCAAACCATCCTTGATATTTCAACCAAAAGATCATGATGGCCAACCCGATGATCACAACATAGGTTGGAGGAATGCGAGTGAAACGAGATTTCTCGTACATCTTCTTCAACCTTTTGGTCGGAACTTCAGTTCCGTCGGAGGAGTTCTTGATGGGAACTTTCTTTTCATGATGCTGTTTATTTTGATTTAGTTCGTGTTTTCCTTTCTCTAGCTGCATTTCGTTTTCGATGGCGTCACCAGGATCCATTATTTTCTAATGATTAGAAAAAAAAAAAAAAGAGGAAAGGTTGCAAGTATTTCACGGACCGCTCTTTTAAAAAAAAAAAAAATGAAAATTGGTGACCGTTATCTACCTTGGGATTTTATGCGAATGTGTGTGTGATATTGAATGAATTGAATTGGCGTGCGAGGAACTTGAGGATGTTTATATACCGGTTATATGATGGTGTAATGTGTCATAATTCGAGAATTTGGTTACGTGAAAATTGTGTAAAAATGATGTAATCTTAATGGCATGAGGAATCCGCCGGAATATGTTACGTAAAACGAATGCTACGGCTTCTATTAAGTAATGTGTGGAACCCTCCACTCTCCCCTCTGTGCATTCTCCGGAGTAACGATTCACTGACCTCACTGTATTATACCATTTCCCGTTAATCACCGAGAATAAAGCTAAGTTGAAGCCAGGCAAGTATTCGAATGAGAATTAACCAAAGAAAGGCGGCGACCTTCCTGGAATTTTACGGCACTCAAGTAATTGAGATCATGGTCTGGTTCCGAATATTCGAATCGGAAAGATCGCGACAAGCGCAGCGAAATCCCTTTATTCCTAGAAGGACTTTCATAATATAATTTGCTAGCAACCATGCAAAGAAATCTCTTTATAATCCTCGAAGGACTTTCATAATTGTATTTATTCGCTTTTTTTTTTTTGGTCATATAATTATATATAACAGTAGATGAATTCAATTTGATGATAAAATGATTTAAATAATTGCTAAATTCAAATGTAGTATTGTAAATTAACTTTTTGTGAATCGTATATATACAATTTATCAACAGATCGATTGACAGTAACTTTATTTAATGCTTTTTAATTGTTTGTAGGTCACACTCATTTCAAGTTCTGCACGCGAGAAAAACGGGTGAACCCAATCGTTGTGTGTATATAATAAATAGAATGAAATTTACAAAGTTCTTTTTCGCATTTTACTTAATGCGTTGTTAAACAATTCACGTCGTATGAAAGAATAACTCTTCCCTGAAGAAAATTGTTCAAAATCCGAGTCACTAACTACAATCGTTGGAGTGGAGGGTGACGCACATATGCTTCTAGGCATGGAGGGGGTTTTAGGCGAGTTCGTGTATGAGGAGGATGGTGATAGACGAGTGTTCGTCTCCTCTATACTTGTGGAGGTATTGGGAGTATTCGGGGGAACTAGAGGTGTAATTGATAGTGTCATTGTTTTATCCGAATCGGCGCTAGTAGGCGTGGTAATGCCCTTCATCATGACCGACTCCATTAGATCCGGAGTTCGTGGAGTGTTTGGTGGTGGTCCGGAGTAAGAAAGTTGCTTGAATTCCATGCTCGACGAGTGAGGAAGAGAACGAGATAACATGTGATAGTAGGTTTTTGGTGTACGCGAAATGCACTGTGAAGCATTGGTGCAAAAGTATGCGGAACCCATGGGCGTTGGTGGCTCTGCGTAATCTAAAGATGCTGTCAAGGGCGTACCGGGAACCGATTGATCATGTGTGGCATTTATCCATTCCAAAATCTTTGAAACCGGTGAGCTGACGTCATCAAGTGACGACTCTTCCCATTCTCCCTTCTTCATCTCATTACTTGATTTTCTATCCCTAAAGAAAGATGCCAAGATTTCTGTTGCCGCATCTTCGCTAACAGCCTCTGCCAACCTTTTAGCGAATCTTCCGGGAACCAACCCTTCAATGAACTGTTCGTTACTCAAGATGCCAATCCTCCTCTCTTCCACTGATAAACCAAAATAATAATATACCAGGATCTCATCCACAGCAGTACGATATGGCTCAAAAAGATTCAGTAATGTGGAAAAATTAAGTAAAGAAAAGAAATCTTGATGAGATTGAATCTTCGATGCCAGCGAAGAAGTTAAAATATCTCTCATATCGGCAGTGCTACATAACCAATCCAAAAATGCGTCGACGAGGAGTGGTCCATTGATTGGACTTACGGGTGCCTCGATACAAAGCATCGGTAGTCCACCCGCTTCCTCGGCCAATAATTTTTGCTTCAAGGATTCTTCATGATTTAAGGATGAATAGGATGCTGCGAGGTTATTGTATTGTGTGGAAAGATTGTAGAAAAGACCCGACTTTTGCATGAGAAGACTGGATTGTTTGACATTAATTTTGTAAGTACGTTTTATGGTCGGGTCATTTAACACGGTTATTTGAAGCGAGAAAAGATGAGTAGATGGAAGGATAGAGGAAGGAGATAAGATTTGAACTGCCTCGGAGATTGCTTCTAGGGGAAGAGCTTTAATGCTAAGGGATGAAGTTTTGACCGGCATTTCTTATTAAAAAAGGTAGCTAGGGTAATTTGGATAGTTTAGTTAAAAAATGAAAGGTGATGAGAAAAGGTCAAAAGATCTACTTTTGCGTGCAGAAGTGAGAGGGCAAAACCAAAAAAAAAAAAAAGAAGAAGAAGAAATTTTTCTATTTCGAATTCTCGCAGAGAATGCTTCTGATTTTCAAATTATGGTCTCTGGTTATATTTATTGAATTTGGGTCTATAAATTTTATGGTCTGAAAATAGTACGATCACGTTATTCAAAGATTTGGGTTGCATTATCCAAAACTTTCACCAACTGGCTTTGTTTCCCTTGTGTCAGAATAAAATGAAATCATTATAGTTGATGTGCCAATTATACTTAAGTTAACCCATCCTTGTCGGTATTCGCCTAATTAGCATTGTTTCAAAAATGTATTGATTAGGGAGAACATACTTGATGTGTATCAATATTCGATTATTCTCGATATTCTTGATGTGTGCTACACCAATCAGCGAAATACTTCGATAGGATAGAGAATTTACATTTGCATATAGACGCTTACACAAAAACCATTTTAGGGCATAAAATAGATGACTCCTGGTAAAAGCGAATGCAAAGAATTTACGCTAATATTGTTAAATTTGGAATCCCTTAACTGCATACGGATTGTGCGAAAGGTATCATACAACTTTAGCTTTAAACGTTAAGACGATTTTTTTTTTTTTTTTTGTTATCAGGATACTAATTCATAGGTGACCTTTTTTTATCAGGAAACAAAATACGGCGACCTGTATTACCTAGTAAAACGTAATTTAAAGTATCACGACATTTGCATGACCTTTTTTTTTTTCCCGGTAAAGAAGGGAGCTTTTTGGTTACAAATTACCGATTTAATAAATACTGTAGTAACGAGAGAAATAAATTTGACGCTAAAATAAAACGCGGTCCCTACTTGTGGGCATCCACGATCACCCAAATAAGGTGCAAAGATGTGCAACATTATCCAAATGAATTTTACTATTAATCCACGATTTTCTTTGGAAGAAAAAAAAAATTTTTTTTTCGGATTTTTAAATTTGCTAAATAGAAATCGCACAAGACCCTGCATTCAGGTTATCGTGCATAGTTTAAGCTTGTTGCTTCGTGTTGACCAAAGGTTAATTTCACTTTTTGGTTTAACACGACGAGTAACTTTCATTCTATATTATTGCGTTTATCCACATCTGGCAGAACTTTCGAGATGATAGATGATCATAGGGAGTCGACAATTCTTGCGTAAGGCTATTCATTCAATCTTAATTCATATTTAATCTCAAATCTCACTTTGAGAATAATTAGTTCGAATAAATTAATATTAGCACGCACGCATGTATCATAATTATTATACAGCGTATAATGGATATGATGAATGTCTCTCGATATAATAGAATAACGATCTTTTTGTTGAAATTCTAATATTCTAATGATACCGATAATTACTTTTTTTTTTTTTGTTTTTTGTTTTACCGATAAAAACAATTAAATAATTTACTTCTTATTTCATTTTTAATGATTATTATACAAAACATGCATGTCACTAAACTTACGATATACTGTAGGTTAAGAATAGAATAATCGATAATATAGTTAACCTACTTTTAAGAATTTTCACGGATTATGCAATTGATATAGATAAGTCATGAAAACTTACTTCTAGTGATGGATTGGTTCGATCCAGTTCGTCCCGGTCCTTTATTAAATAAATATTAAAATTGTTTAAACAAAGGATTTTTATTTAAAATATAATTGCATACAGTTTTAACAGTATAAATGATAATATTAAACTTGTCTCAAAAACTTTTAATCAAATCAAAATTTAATAACAAAAAAATTTATTGTGGTCAAATTATATCAAAAGTTTTATTAAACAAAATCTTGCTTTTATCAACTCAACTTATTATTAATTTTAGTAAAACAAATACCTTTTAAATAATTATCTGTCTATATAATTAAACCAAAAAATTTTTTATATTTTTTTAAACAAATATTCTTAAAATTATATATATGTATATGTATATACTATATGTAATTTTAGAATATTTAATAATTTTATAAAAAATCTATATTATATTATAAAAAATGATAATAAAAAGTCATAAATTCTTTTTTTCAAAAATTTTATTTTTTGTTAAAAAAAGTAAATCAAGTTCAAATAAAGACAATATCATTTTTATAAAACATGACATATAAATAATACAATATTCAAAATTCAAAAAAAAAAATTTTTTTTTAATAATAATTGATATTAAATATCAATTACTTTATATATTAAATATAGATTAATAATAATATATCATGACTTTTTCTAATTAAATTTGCCTATCTCTTAAGTAAAAGAATATATCTAACTAGAAACTGAATAGTTTATATACAGTCATTAATAACATTATTTATATAACTAGTTTGAAACTATATATTAATCTATTTACTATATTGACTTATACATTAAAATCAAATTCTCAAAAATTATTTAATTATTCAAATATTTTAATACTTTTGCTTAAACTTTAAAAGAGATTTTTATCTTTGTTATTATTATTTTTGATATTATAAATAAGTTTTGTTTGATAAGTTTTTTATTTAAATAAATATTAAAATGAAATATTTTAAGTTAAGATATTCAGATCTTAGAGTTTATTTATATAACATGAAATAAAAAATATTTAAATAATTATTATAATTTTAATAATAGATCCCAAAATCTGCTAATATATTTTGAGGTTAGTAATTTATTCAGACAATTTATCTCAATTCTAATAGTAAAATTTTAAAATTTATTTTTTGTTCAATTAAAAAAAAAATAAGTTAAATATAATTCATATAATTAAATCAAAAGTTTTTTTCATACAATTTTTATAATAAATTAATCACTAGTCAAAAAATATTTATTCGACATGATGCTACTCATATAATATTTATCAAAAAAATAAATAATTCAGTATATTAATGATATAAATAAATCATCAATCAATTTTTTACTATATAATTTGATATATAATTCGACATAAATAAATTGTCAATCAATTTTTACTATATAATTCGATATTATTTGCTATATTTATACTATTTTTATTATATATTTCATTAAAATTTTTCTCAAAAAATTGTTGAATATTTGCCAAAATTTCAATTTTATCAA